AAATACTCCTCTCATCCCTGATTAACATACACACAATTGAGAGCAAAAAAGAAAAGAAAATGCAATTATAATTATGTGTAAACTCTTCTCAAAACTTAAGTATTAGTCTTGTTTAAGAAAGGAGTGAGGCCTATAAATACTCCTCTCATCCCTGATTAACATACACACAATTGAGAGCAAAAAAGAAAAGAAAATGCAATTATAATTATGTATAAACTCTTCTCAAAACTTAAGTATTAGTCTTGTTTAAGAAAGGAGTGAAGGGGGTTGTAAAAGTTCTCTCCTGAACCTGTCAAAAGGAGAATCGAGTTGTAAGGGTAGTTGATCTTCGCTCATTGAAGGAAGATCGTTAGTGGATGCTAGTGGTCTCGACAGAAGAAGAATCGACGGAGTGGATATAGGTCATGATAACCGAACCATCATAAAACTCGGTTTGCATTTCTATTCTTGCAATATATCTTTACTGCAAACTGCCTTACTTGATTACTTTTGCTGCACACCCTTCCGAACGTATTTCAAGTTAATATCTTTCCAAAATCGATTTTATCGTACGAAGAATTTTTAAACCGGTGATTTTATTCGCTGCACTGATTCACCCCCTCTTTTAGTACCGACTCGTTCATAACAAAGGGCTCATAACTCTGACAGGTCTCTTTTACCCTCAGAAGCACCTTTTGGAGCTTACATGCTTCGAAAGGACAAAATCGTGCGGGTACGCCCATCGCCCAAAGTGGATAATTCCTCACGAGCCTACGGGCCGCACCAATTGCCGACCGACCAAATGGTTCCGTAAGGTCATTTAGTCTCACATTGGTTGAGAAGTATAAGAACCAAGGGCTCATAAGTCCATCAGGTCTCCCTTACCCTTATAGACTCATTTGGAGCTTGCGTTGCTACTTTCCGACAGACAACCGAAAACGGGTTAGACTTGTTCGGATTGATTTAGTTTATAGATCTATGTCCTCTCCCCATTCACCCTCAAAACCTCAGTTGAGTCGAGTCGTCTGTTGTCACCATGATTGAAACCCTAACAACATTTTCTGCAATGCCAAGAGAATCTCTAGAGTTCTTTGCCAAGCTCAAAAAGCTCTCCCTCGCTTCCTCTTCCACTGTCCTTAGAGGCTTTTTTTTAAATTTATCGAAAAGATAAAATCGTATGAGTATATCCGAATAAAGAAAAAAAAAATATTTTAAAGTTATTATTAACGTCGTACATCCGGTCCAGATTCCTAATAACTGAAAAGACCGCACAACCCAGCACGAGTTCAGAGTAACTCACCGTCACACTGGCTGGCAGTTGAGAAGCACACGCTTACCCACAGCCAAGCAGGTCAGGTCGTCATCCACCGAGAGAACCTTCATCTCCTCCGGGAACCTATCCCGCACTCCATCACTCTCCAACTTGGAGCTTCCGTAGCTACTTTCAGGCGGACGACCGAAAACGGGTCGGACTTGTCCGGATCGGTTTAGTTTATAGATCGACTCCGAAACCCGTGTCCTCTCCCCGTTCACCCTCAAAACCTCGGCTGAGTCGTCCGCCGTCACCACGACCGAAACCCTAACAACATTTTCCGCAATGCCAAGAGAAGCTCTAGAGTTCTTTGCCAAGCTCCAAAAGCTCTCCCGCTTCCCCTCCCACTACGCCTGCAATCGCCACCTCCACCGCCTGACCACCGGCTCCCTCGGCGACCTCGCCCTCAAGCTCCTCTGCGCTCTCGTCTCCCGTGGATTCCGCCCCGATATTTCTGCCCTCAATTCCGCCGTCTCCCTCCTCGCCAGGAACGGTGGCCCCCGGTCCGCCCAGGCCTTCGTGGACGCCGCTTTTCCCGTCCTCGGCTGCACCCCCGATGTCGTCACCTTTAACTCCCTCGTCGACGGTTACTGTCGTGCCGATGACTTGCTCGGTGCCTCCGTCATCTTGAGGAGTATGCAGTCGTGTGGGCCCCGTCCCGACGTCGTCACCTACAACACCATGATGAGCTCCTTAGGCAAGCACAGAATGCCTCGGTCGGTCTTGAGCTACTTTGCATTGATGTCGAAGGCTCACGCCCCGACAGTGCTTACTTATACCATTCTCGTCACTATGTTCCGCGAATTGGGCGACTTAAGAATGGGGTATTTCGCGCTGAATGATATGCAATTCTTAGGGATTTCTCCAAATTTGGTAACTTTCACCTGTTTGATCGATGGTTGCTGTAAGAACAATCGTTTGGATATGGCACTGGAGTTGTATGATCGTATGACAAGTCTTTCCGTGCCACCAAATGTTTTTACTTTCAATGCACTTGTTGATGCTCTCTGTAAGAAGGGGATGCTGGAGAGAGCGACAGAGATGTTTGAAAAGATGCACAAGATCGGGGTGCTGGCAAATGTGGTGGTTTACACTTCCTTGATAGATGGGTACTTAAAGAAAGGAGATTTTGACACGGCAGTGAGATATTTGAATAGAATGTATGACAGGGGAATCTGTCTCAATGTGAAGGGATATGGGGTGGTTATTTGGGGACTTTGCAATAACGGTCAGTTGTATAGAGCTTTAGAGATGAGAAAGGAGATGGAGGGAAGAGGCCTGATTCCGGATAAATTTATCCTTACCAATCTGATGGATGCCCATTTCAAAGCAGGGGATGTGAAGAAGAGCTTGGACTTGCATAAAGAAATGCTCATTAATGGTTTTGAGCCTGATGTGGTCACTACTTCGGCAGCAATTGATGGGCTTTGCAAGCATGGGCTATTGCAGGAGGCAAATGAATATCTTGTGAAAGCAAAAGAAGCTAATGAGATTACCTATACCGCACTTGTCGATGGGCTGTGCAAGCAAGGGAATATAAATGATGCTGATAAGGATTTTATGGATATGCCAAAAGCTGGTCTAGCTCTAGATAAGTTTAGCTACACTTCAAAAATTGCTGGCCACTGTAGAGAAGGGAATATAGTGGAGGCATTGAGACTTAAAAGATTGATGCTTCAAAAGGGTATTTATCCTGATCTGCTACTTTCAGCTCACTTATATGGGGTTTGGCAACTAAAGGGTTTATGATTGAGGCAAAGCAGGTTTTTGATGATATGCTAAGCAGAGGGATTGCTCCAGATGCTGTGGTGTATGATATTTTGATCAGAGGTTACCTCATGCAGAATGATATTTCGGCTGCCTCAAATTTGGAAGAAGATATGAAAAAGAGGGGTCTTATTACTGAGGATACACCACTAATGAGTAGTGCATATTCATCCACATAGGTTTCTTGAGATTCTGTAGTATGGGAACTTCACCAAGGTTTGATCAATTCATCAAATAAGCAATTTGTTGATGAAATGCATTTTTTCTCTATGTCCATCTTTTAACTCTTCAAGGGCTGCCAGTCTGCTAACTTGATCTGGCATTTGGCATGACCAGATTAAATGCATGATCTTTGCAGGGTAAACTTGCAAGAACTAGTTCTGCTTCTAGGAGCAAAAACTTGTCTGATACTCTGACCATTGCTGGCTATCAGATGATCAAGGTTAGAATGTCATGCTACACTGCATAGAAGAAAAGGGATACAAAGTTATCTTAGCAGAGATTATGGTTGCTGCATCTTAATTGTTTCTTAAACTACCTTTGTTTCTCGTTCACTAATAGGGATACTCTAACCATTGTTTTACCCGTAATTCTGTATGATGAAGGAGTCTGTCAAGAACGATCCATAAAAAAATGAGGGCAGAAGGTTTGAGCATTTTAGGGAATCTTTCATGTAATTTATTACACACATGATTTCATGCCTTAATCAAGAGGTTTTGAGGTTCCAGTAGCTGCAAGTAGATCATATTGACCCAGTGAACAATTTTATGTTGTTCATTTTCCTTTTGATCTTTTACTGCAAGGCATGTTCATGTTGTAAATAAGTTTAGGTGAATGTGTTGTTGGATTTTGATTCTTTCAAGACCAGTATATCTAAACTGCAGGCAAGCAGTAAATGGAGAGTTTCATTGCATGAACTTGGTACCTGCTGCTATCCTTTAACAAAATTGACTGATGCTGTTGCTTGCTCACATGCACCTTAGTTCCATAGATGGTTTTTCTAGTTCTGGATTTCAGGCATAGGCAGCCAAGGATGGAGGTAGAGGCAAAATCATCTTTTGAGAAAAAAATGACACTTTGTGGAAATTTTTGAAAGAGGAGGCGCTAACTGAGAATTTCTCAAAATAAGGGGCTTTTTTTTGAAAAATTATCCAATATACATTCATAAATATATATATATATATATGTATATATATATATATGTATATATATATATATAAGAGTTGAAATGATGAATTGCGTCCATGAATTTTTTTTACTATTTGCATGATTGCATAATATTTTGTATGGCATAAACCACCTTTGGGTTGCTGACATGAAACCCTAGAGAGCTTGTTGTAACACAGTGGACGGATGTAAATTTGTAACAGGGCCCTTACTATTGCTCTGCTGGTGCTGACAAAGCTTTTGGCCCTGACATTGTTGATGCCCTTTACACAGCCTGTCTCTAAGCAGGAATCAACATTAGTGGCATCAATGAAGAATTGATGCCAGGCTAGGTAAATTATAATCTTTTTATGATATTAAAGGGTAGTCTTCTTGCACTCGTTGTCACCTTTGAGCAATGTCATGCAGCAGTGGGAGTTTCAAGTAGGCCCTTGTTGGCATCTCAGCTGGTGACCCGTTGTGGGTTGCTCACTTCATATTTGAGGTAATGCCTGACCCGGAAATACTATGATTGATCAGTGATTTCTTCTATGGATGTCTTGTTACTTCAAGCCTCTCTTATATTGTGTGAAGCAATCTGAGTATCCAACTTATTAGCACTTAGATCTCTCTGTGAACAGCGAATTACCGAGATCTTTGGAATGGTGCTTTCCCTTGGATCCAAAGCTGATTCAGGTAAGATCAATTTGTTGTCTTGATCTGTAAACATGACTTCATGTCTTGTGTCAATACCATTGTAGTCACATTGTGACTGTTTTGGTGCTTCAGGTGATTGGAATGGTGCTGGCGCTCACACAAATTACAGGTGACACAGTTCGTACCGATACCATCGACAAGATGGTTGAGGATCAAGTTTCTAACTTTCTTTATGTTGTTTGTATCTTCTTTTCCTTTTGTAATTCCCAGCACTAAGTCCATGAGGAGTAATGGAGGGCACAGAGTCATCAAGGAGGCAATTCAGAAACTTGGCCTAAGGCACATGGAGCACATAGCTGCCTATGGAGAAGGGAACGAGTGACGGCCCATGGGGTGCCATGAGACTGCTGATATCAACACCATTTGGGTATGCGATTTTGATCAGTAGAGCTATGTTACCTTTACACAATGAACTTGTAATAGTTCTTTTTCTCGTAATTGACAGGGAGTTGCAAACTGTGAGGCATCGATTTGTGTTGGACGTGACACTGAAGTCTGGCAAACGTTGGTGACATTTCTTTTTCTATTGAAATTGGGGTATCCTTCTGCTATTTATCAATCAAGAGACAAAGCTAACACTTGACATTTCTTTTTCTATTGACATTTGGGAAGGCCTGTTTCCAACATGGATCCTCATGTTGCCACTTCTATGATTGCAGAGACTACCATCCTTTGGAAAGTTTACTTGCAAGTGATCAGCTGTTTGTGTCTCATATCTACTGGATCTTTGCCTGTGGGGTTGGTTCTTTTGCATTACATGTAATAGCTTAGAGGGAATGATTGTGTTGTGTTGAAGATGAGGCAGGAAATTTAGATTGAGTTGGACTTGATCCATTTTCCTGCCTTAGTTGTCACTTCTTGTTCCATTTATATCAGTAATGAACGTACATTACCAGCAGAGATGAAACTGTGGCAAGTGGCTTGTTTGATGCTTTTTGTTGGTTTCATCCCTTTGTTTTATTTGTTCTCTCTAAATAAATATAGAATTTAATATAATGGATATGATTGAAATTTCCCGTGGGATCAGACTGAAACTGCTCATCTGTGTTATGAAACTCAATGAAGAGCACTGCAGAAAACAAGATTTGATTCTTGTGGAAGAATTCATTTTTTTTTCCAAAAAGCAAAAGGCGATTATACTATTTCCTAAGATTAATGTATTCCATCTTAACTTCTAAATATACTAACCAATCATTTGTCCATCCTCAAAATCCTTACAAAAATTACATAAAAAATTAATGTCTGCAGTCTTAATCTCTAAATATATATATATATTTTTTGCCCAATCACTTGTCCACCCTCAAAACCCTGAATCGTTTGTTACACATTAATATATGTCGTCTTAAGTTTTAAATATAGTAGATCATTTGTTGACTCAAAGCAAGAATCATGCCACTAAACCAAACACCTAGTTAAAACAATGTATATTAAACAAAGTATTTAGAAAGACTAAGAAGAGATGTGATATTGATCATAGCAAACTATCAACATCCCCGTATAAGAATTTGAAACAAACACCTCCATATCTAATTCTATCCTGTATGTTTTACCCCTTGTAGATATAAGCCCATAAAGCCAGCAAGCCATATATACAACCTACAAGCAAACATACGCCATTGCATATACGAATAAAAATATTAGCTTCGTCTTATTTGTTATGCATGTTAAATGTCCCATCTTTTTCCACTAAATATGAAACTGACTCGAGACTTCCTTCGGACCATCATATTATTAATATATAGCTTTAAAAATCTCACTTCGGTGGGCAAACAATAATTAAAGAACTTTATTCTTATCGAAATAAACTTATGCACTTCTTTCTACAAAGGAAGTCTACCTTTTAAGGTCGAGGAAGATAAATTAATAATCATTAATATTTCGTCAAAAAGAATAAATTCCACAGGTGAAACATATTTTATAGTGAAGGCCTTTTGCGACATCCATCAATTCCTTCCCATAAACCATCTTGCACTTTGTATTCAAATTGTTAGTATTTATAATAATATAATAATCTTTTTATTTATATCACATTAAGTTTTGGGGAATATTAGTCACGTAATTAAGATCTTATTACGATATAGAAGTCCCTTGAGAAGGTAATGGACACTCCTCTATTGATTCACCAGGGTTTTAATTGACCCTGTAATGGGTACTTTTGTAATTTCATCACAATGTCGATCTCTATATAAACGCTCCTGCTCTCCCTCTTTCGCCCTTTGATTGCATCGATCCGTCAATGGGTTTCGTGGGATGTCTCTCTCCTTGTGCCCTCCGATAGCATCGCTTCTCCTACGATCCTTGCCTAGGGATTTTGTGGGATGTCTCTCTTTTCATTCACTTTGATTGCATTACTTCTCCTTCGATCCTTGTCAAGGAATTTCATGGGATATCTCTTTTCTCACACCTTTCGATAGCATTGCTTCTCTTTCGATCCTGGGTTTGGTATGGTATTTTCTCTCTCCTTGATCCGTGCTTAGGCTCTCATCTTCGAAATGTAGGAATGTGCAATCAATTGGTTTCACCATTTTTGTGGTTTTATCATTTATTGATTGGTGGTAAATTATGTCGGAATTTTTTGGCTTCATTTGATTTGCACTGCTCGGTAACTTATGGTGGGATTTTTTTGATTTGTGCTGCTCGGTAACTTATGGCAGTAAATCATGGGAGAATTCATAGATAATTATTTTCTTGATTCCTGCGCTACTAGGTAACTTGTGGCCAGATTTCCTTTGGCCCATGAGATGCGCATCTCTACGTCTTCCAACCCTCTAGCAAAGCCAAAAAGATCGTAAGGTCATTCGTTATCTTCCGCCTCTTCTTCTTGCTTCTTATCATGCTTCCTATCCGGTTCAAGTTTATGAACTGTGGTTTTTAATTGTCTTATTCTTTTCTTGATGGTAACGGTCTCTGTAGTTTAATCGTTTTGTTCTTGTAAAAATTTGGGGATAGCATAAGCATTACACTGTTGATTCAACTGGTCATAGGCTACCACTTGGAATCAACCTACACACGTGGAAAGTCACACAAGTCAATAAACGGTGCATGACAACTAGACCCAATGTCTTAGCTTCCCTCGACCATGCCACTAGTCCTCTCCACTTCCCCTTAATTGTGCCATTGTTTGTCAGTGATCTGTCACCCTTCACCGTGATTTCAGAGGAGGTTGCATGCTTAATCGCAAGGAGTATTAATTTCATATGGCATAGCCTAACTCTTTAAACACCTAACTGTCACGGATAAACTTCTAAATAGGATGTTTGATGTAATGTTTATGTATGCCCGTGTCTTTTGGTATGTTCATACTTTGCACAGCATGTAGAGGGACGGCTGAAGGCTTAATAGTCCCATTTTAGTTGGATTGGTGGCCGCTTTAGGCTTGTAAATAAATATTGTGTCATGTGGACACTTGTGAGATATTGTCGATCTATAGTGGACCATTTTGACCCTTTGTTGTGCAACTATTCAGTGCTTGTAAAGTCTGTTTATAATTTGCATTGTCTATAAAGTGATTCCTAGAATATTTGCTTGTGGATCCCGAGTGAGGCATTCTCTCTAACCCGTTTTCTCTTTTGTGGGTCCTAAGAGACCATGGGAGGTTGACCTTTGCGGACGGACACGCAAGGGTGCCGCACGACTTAGGCAAAACCAGTTAAGTCCGTGACAGATGGTATCATAGTGGGACAAGCACTCATAAAAACACTTAGCATGCAAACGTGGGGGACCTAGCAAGGTTGCGTTGAGGGCAGTCAGCACACACGCGACCATTTGGGGAAAAACGGGCATGGAGATGTAGGGAAAAGAAGTCTCTCGGAGGAGCAAGCATATGAGATTGGCATTCAGAGGAATGGCCAACCCTTCGCGCAA